TTTAAACATAATGCTTTTGATAAATCTATTTCTGATGCTTACCTAAAACTATACTTTTCATCACATTCACATTAAAAAACCAAAGAAAGATTCAAAAACTGAAATAACCTTTATACCTCAATTTGGTATTCCTAACAAAAAATAAAAGTAAAAAATACAAATCATCTATGCCTATTAAATATACATACATATACACATAAGCTTAAAGATCATCATATTTACATTTTCAAGAATTTTCAAGACATAATTTTTTGAAATTTCAGAATCTTACCATGTAATCGTTGAAGAACCATTTGTGAGGATTGTTTCTAGGGACGCTGCTTAAATGGTAATGAGTGTACTAGAGCAAGTAAATAAAATCATGATAATCTTTACAAAGCAATAAAATTACGCGACTTATTTGAATGTTCAAAATAACTGTTTCTAAATGAACCACAATTTGTGTTGCGGTATGCACTTATATAAATATTTTAAGAATATTTGGTTATTAAGTCATATTTGTCCACACAACTCAAAGCTTAGTATAAGATTAAATAAAATTAGGTACGATAAATTATAACATATATTAACGTACGTTTAAATACAAGTGATAGCATATATTAACGTACGATTAAATACAAGTGATAGCATATATTAACGTACGTTTAAATATAAGTGATAGCATATGTTAACGTACTTTAAGATATGAACAATAGATGGACGACGACATGGACGCATTGATGGAATAATAATACCATTTCTTATGCTACCATCAATTGTATCAGAATGAAGTCGCGCATTATCTTTGCCTGTAAAGTGTATACTATAAGTGAATTCAATGTATATCAAGTATAAATTAAAAGTATTGTAGTAAATGAATAAATAAATAAATTTTCTGGTTTATGCTCACAAAATTTGTGATTGAAAATGATTACCACGCTTTTGATATAAAATATTTAAGTGATCTTCACACGATGTGACAATTAATTTTTGACATGGAGTAAGCATATTTGTTATATTCAACTGATCCTTATCACCAAACATAATGAGTGTAGCTGGCATCCAGTCTTGATTCTGAAGTTTATCGGTAAAAGTTAAAGAACAGTGATGAAGCCTCTATTAATTACCTTTATGAATAAAATTTGATATAGTTACAGAAGTTATTTCTAATAAATATTCAAAAATACTTGAAATCCAGTTTGATCTAGTTTACGATGCATTTTCCAGTATTTTTTCATTATTGGTGGATATATTTGGCCATCATGATACTGAAGTATTTTCCAGCGTTGTATAAGTTCATTTGTTCCTATTCGCATATAATCTTTACACGTCCTTAATACGTAAAGTATTAATTTTGCAACAATTTACAAAAAAATAAATTGGTGAAGTTGTACTGATTTATAATCACAACAGCAAGTGAATATCAAAGATATGTATGTATACCGTACGTGCTTATTTATAATGCAGAAAAGAAGAACAAACATTCGCAAATTGAGTAAACTTTGCACATCTAAATATTTGATAATTTTATCTCTCGGTGGGCCATCGAGAAGGAAGATTAAATTTAGACTTCTGGAGTTGTTCGCAAATTGCCCGAGTTGAATATTGCTTAATTCTGCTGAAAATGATTAATGTAATCCAAAATTATGCTCAAAAATCATAATATTTTACTTTTTAAACTTATGAAAAGAGTCAAAAATTTTTCAAAAAAATAAAACTTTGGAATTATTGTAATTTGTTAATAGCAAATAAAGCATTTTTTATGCTGAGTTTAGTAAAACTTAAAGTTAATGATTTTACGTCACACAAATTTAATTTAATTAACCTTCGTTTGATGTATTTATGGATGGATTCTGAAATACAGGTAGCAAAGATAAAAGTTTGATAAAGCAGTCCATTACTGATACCAAAGTTTAAAGCTGAGTGCTTATATACACAGAAGATTGAGGATTATTACTAAGGATTATGATTAAGCTTGATCAGATTCAGTACCATCGAAGTAACAGCAACTTATTTCTACTTTTGTTCATATGCAAATTTTGACTTTCTGATTACAATTATTAATACTTCAAATGGCAAACTTCCATTCATTCACGTGAAATAAAGCATACATACTTAATATCATGTAAAATTTTTATTAGAACCAACTAATTATTTATGCAAATAAATAATTGGCCTCACTTTTTTTTGTAAAAAAATGAAAATAAAATTTTTATGCAAGTTTCTACTTGATATTTTTATCCTTGCAGTATTGTATTTTGCTATAAAAAATTTTGTCATAATATTTTGTTATGTTTTTTAAGACAAACAATATACTGCAATTATATTTGTATTATTTTTATGAGCTAAAAAATTTATTAAAAGCAATAAAAATCACAATTGAATTTCAAAGAAATAGATAGAAATTTTGAAGAGTAATTTAGCATATTTAATTATTTTTAATTTTTTATAATTTTTGAGTTGTGCAAAAAAATTTTTAAAAAATTATTTCAGTAAATATTCAAAAATTTAGTTGGCACTGCAGCCAACTGCATGTAAGCAAATACATTAATGCTAATATATTTGTGTAAAAAAATTGAAAAACTTTCCAATTCCACAAATTTGAATGGAAAAACTCAAAATAAAAGCATGAAACTTGAAAGAATGGTTTTTGTTTCGCACCAAAAATGTAAATTTATAATTTATTATAATTAATTAATTAATTAATTGATTATTAATAATAATAGCACTGTTATTTAATTTACGAAAAAATTTAGTACAAATAAAAATTTGCTATCACAGAATGGCATGACAAAATTTTTTTACATCAGAATGTAAAATTA